CGGGGGGGGGGGGGGGGGGTAATCATATTCGTCCATGCCGTAGTCGTTAGACCATTGACCTCGCATCCCTACAAAGCCGGGACGGAGCACGCCGGGTTCTCACCGGACCAGGCTCTCACATCTCCAAGCGCGAAGCGCCGTGAGGTATTCGGCGAGTCGCATGGGGGGGGGGGGGGGGGTTACGGCAGGCTGGCTGGAAGTGTGGGTGGGTGGGTGCGTGTGTGTGTTTTGCGGCAGGTTATATTGTGGCCTCAAGCGCTTCGTGTTTGTCTTTCACTCGTTTTTTTCTGATACTCCATTTCGCAAAACGCTGTACAGCCATGGCACCCCCCCCTCCCCACGCCTCCGCCCATATCACGAGAGGTACAGAGAAGGATAGCGAGAATACTAAAGTGCGGAACAACCCCTCGGATTGTGATTGGCCCGCCCCCGTTCCGTGTGTTCCGTCCTCTTGAGGACGCATGTTCAATAATCTATCCGCTAAAAGGCATGCTAAACATGAGAGTATGCCCCCCCCCCCGCCCCGTTCCAAGGTGAACCGCGAGATCGAAGCCGATCGACAGGGGAAGACGCTGGAGCAGATGGAGGCGGAGATGGGGCTGGCGGCGGCATCCGGCGGCGGCAGGGGGGGGCGGGCAGCAAAGTCTAAGGAGGAGCAGATGGCGGACAAGGGTCTTTGGCGGAAGAACGCCTCGGGGAAGAAACGAAAAAGGTATAATATGTTGCACCGTTGCTGATAAGTATTATTGGAATCGGGCCCCGTTTTAATCGGCGTTCGTATCTATTATGGCGTGTTCGCTTTGTGCTTGCTGCCAAGCGTTGTTTTGTCGTTGACCGCGCGTTGTCTTTTTTGGGATGGTGTGGCGTGTTCCGAGTACAAGCGGCTGCGGTACCCCAGCGTATTTTCTGCCGCAGAACCGACAGTACGCCCGGCCTTTCGTATGAGTATATCTGTTTTTGGATTCGCATGGTCTTCCATTCCACGGCAACCTTAGCGGCAACCTTCCGCGGAGCGCGAGAGAACGGTTCGACATGTCATTCGCCGAGACAGGCCATGGCTGTGGCTGTGGTGTTCTTTCTTCCAGAGGGTTGATGTGATGGCAACCCCCGTTCTTGTGTATGTTTGTGCGCGGGAGGGGGGGGGGGGGGGAGAGTACTCATAGTCGTGCATGCCGTAGTCGTTAGACCATTAACCTCGCACCCCTGCAAAGCCGGGACGGAGCACGCCGGTTTCTCACCGGACCAGGCTCTCACAGCACCAAGCGCGAAGCGCCGTGAGGTATTCGGCGAGTCGGATGAAGGGTGCGCTGCATCCTGCTGAGGGTGTTCGGCATCTTGTGCTTACTTCCTTGCGTACGGATGACAGCTACGTAAGACTTAATTTATTTTCTGGTGCTTTCACTTCCAGAGACTGTTGTAAGCACTGTGTAACTGCCTCGAGGGTGCTTGACCAAAACAAGAAACAAAAAACAAAGGCAAAAGAAAAGCGGTAACCTGGTGGCCGAGCTCACGAAGTGATCGGCTTGTTTTACAACATCGCTGCTGGCAAGCGACGAAAACACAACGCTGATGGCAAACACCGGGCGGGGCGGCTTGTTTTACAACGTCGTTGCCAAGCAACGAAAACCCAACCCCGATGGCAAACATCGGGCGGGAGGGGGGGGAGGGGGGGGGTACTCTTATGTTTTGCATGCCTTAGCGGTTGGACCGTTGACCACGCGTCCTCGAGAGGATGGCGCGGGAGGGGGAGCGTATTATTTTAATGGGTTGTTCTTTTACAGCGCTAGCAAGATGATAAAAAAAAATACATACTTTCTGTCTTGGCGGGAAAAAATAGCACTAGAACGTGTGTGTGAGCTGTGTTATTGCTACAGAGTAGCTTGTTCAGCATCAGCAAGAGGGGTTTATTTTAGGTATCCCTTCGAAGAAAACTCCTATTAATATATACCTGCTGTTCCTCATCGCTTGAAACGCCCCATCCATGCAGGTACATCACTCCGGAAGAGCTCCTCCAGCAGCAGGAGGAGGAAGCGAAGGAGAAAGGGGAGGTCAACGCGCCCGCCAAGCAGATCATCGTCGACATGCGCGGCCCGCAGACCAAGCTCGTGAGCACGATGGACGACCTGGCGCCGCTGGCCTCGGGGGCCGGAGGCGACGGCGGTGCTCCCAAGCTTGGCCAGGAGCTGCTGCATAATGTCGGCCTGATGGTGGGGCTGGCGGAAACGGAGATACAGGTGAAGGCGGTTTTTGTTGTATTATAGCATGGTTGTACGTGTAGGGTGCTTGGTTTCTTTTTTTGGAGCGTGTTTTCATGGTTCGGTTGTGTCGCTCATGTTGTTGCTGTTATGGTGCTGTTGTTGTTGATGATGATGCTGTGATTCTGTTGTTGCTGTTGTGGTTGTCGTGGCTGTTGTTGTTGTAGCGAAAGGCAACGTGTAAGTGGGGTAAATAGTGCTTTACTGCAGTAGCCTAGCAGTTTCTGTTGTGGTTTCTCGACGGTTTCATGCAACGTCATACAACTCACCTGCTTGTCCTGCTACGCCTATCCCCCCCCCCATGCTCTCCTATCTCTTGTGCCCGCCTTAGACGTTACACCGAAGGAGGAAGGTGGAGGCGGACAGAGCTAAGGCCCTCGAGAAGGACGCCGCCGATCTGAGGAAGAAGGTCGACGCCTCGGGGGAGAGGCTGTCCCGCCTGGAGCACGTGGAGACGATCCTGTTCCGGGTGCACGACAAGGTGCTCAAGGACCCAGCCTCGGTGACCGCGGACAACGTTCTCAAGGTGATGGAGATGATCGATCCTCGTCCGGGTCATCGATTGGCTATTTTCTGTTTTTTCATCGGTTGCTGGCGTGCACCTGTGTGCGTGTTCTTTGAGTGCTTGGACAACGTTCTCAAGGCGATGATGATTGATCCTCGATCGGACTGTCGATCGGCTTTTTTTTTTGTTTTTGCCGGTTGCTGGCGTGCATCTGTATGTGTGTGTTCTTGTAGAAGTCGACCAGCGTTCCTCAAGTTGATGATGATGGTCCTCGCCTGGTCCATCGATTGCCTGTCTCTCTTGTTTTATTGTCGGTTGTGTGTTCTTCGTCGACCGCGCCAACTATCTCACCAATAGTAAGACGCCAGTCTTGTACCGCGCGCGTATCTGTTTGTATGGTTGGCCTCGACCGCGCTAGACGGCTGATCAATAAAGAACAGACGATCAGGATGTGTTTGTGTGTGTTTTTCTGCCCATGGGTGTTGGAAATCGCACCCAGAAGGCGTTTCGGTGCGAGGTATTTTTGTTTTGTCCATGTCTCATGTACACCTCCATTGGAGACATGGCGCTGGCGTCGTGTGTTGTGCAGCGCGCCTCGTTCGCCTTCTGAGCATCGACCGTGCTTTGCCGGCTCTCACGTGCGTGTGTGTGTTTGTCGTGGGGCTGGCCGAAACACGGCAAGCGAGGGGGTGCCCGGTGTCATCGCTGCATGGTTAACCATGAGATACGTGGTGGTGTGTTTTTTAATATCTTGGTCCTGTCGGGTTTGTGTTGTGTGTTTGTGTGTGTGTTTTTTCATGTGTTGAGCTATACAGTATTCACAAAACTACGAGGCGACGCATCATAACGCCATCGTCCCTACGTATGTCGTGCTGTCGTACTGCTGTACGTGGAACCCCATGTACGTAGGCGTTCCGGACGTTACGGGAGCGTTTCCCCGAGGAGTACGCCGTCTTCGGCCTCGCCCAGCTCGTGCCGGCCATGGCCGCCCCCGTCCTCAAGAGGTCCCTCGCCGGCTGGAGCCCGCTGCAGGCGCCCACCGAGCCGGCGCGGCTGCTGGCCTCCTGGAAGGACGTTCTCACGGACACCTCCGGTGCGGTGGAGGGGGAGGGGAGGGCGAGGCGCTGGGAAGGGCAGGTGGGTGTGGGCGCCGGTGCTGAGAGCTTGGTTGGTTTTGGACGCGCTGGAGCTGTTCTTGTTCTTGTTATTGTTGGTGGTGCTGGTGCTGCTGCTGGTGCTGCTGCCGTTGTTTGTTGAGGCTGTTGCTGGGCGGTAGAGGTAGCAGTTCTGGCGGCTCCTCGTTTCTATTTCCCGTTCCCTTGTCACCACTTCGCACCACGTGCCTTGCCGTCTTGATTCGCACCATGCGCCTTGCGTCTTGATGCGTCTCATGGTGTTGAAACTGCCGATGATGGTGCGACAGCATTAGCAATAGTGGTGATGTCGACGTTGATGTTGGTGTTGGTGTGACCCACAGCATTATCAATGACTCATGTCGTTAATAATGGAGTTGCTTTTATACGATTTTCGACAGGCGGCGTTCGAGTTCTTGGCGAACGACCTCGTGCTTCCTGCGGTGAGGTCAGCCCTCGTGAACGAGTGGGAAGTCAGGGATCCCACGGCGGCCTTGCAGCTCTCCGAGGCGATGGTGTTGGCCGGCGTCGGCGACCAGATCGTACAGTCCTTGCTGGAGCAGGTGCGTTTGTTCATTACTCTGTCCGGTGTTTTTTTCGAAAATTTGCTTAAAAACACAGGAAAACTACCCGCTCGAGATACATCCATAACCGCCGAAGGGGATGTGTTGAAATCTTAACCATGAGTTCACAACAAGAAATGGCTCGATTTTTGGCTTCGTTTGAGCCGGTTTTTAAGCCTCATTTTGTTTTTTCCCCCGTCAGCTTCAACCGCGCTACAACCTATTCGGGGGCCCAATGAAAGACGCCAGCGTCGAAGTCCCCGAAGTGGGGGTGGTGTCGGAGAATTGGCGGCACCCAGAATACCAACATACAACTCTTCGCAGATCCTTCGCAAGAGACGTGACCGTAGCTTCATGTGTGCGCCTTCTAAGTGGCGTCGACTGTGCTATGTAACCGGCCGACCAAGGCCAAGATGGCGGTCATTTAAGTGGGATCGACGGGGCTAGCTGGGTAACCAGTGAAAAGAATTTATTGAGGTCTTATTTGCGCATAGCGTGGTAAAGACCTCGAGCACGTGATCCATTCCGCGGGCCCCCTCGCCAGGGGGACGTGGTAGGAGATCGGACGATATGTCCCACCAGTCTCCGGATTCAGAGCGTTTGCAGCAAACGTGTTTGTGTGTGTTTCTGTCACTCTAGTATGGCGTCGACGAAGGAAGACTGCGATGAAGAGCCCTACCTAGGTATCTTAAATGTTAGTCTAGGGCTTGAAGATGGACCGACGACCAATCGGCCTTTATACACTCTGTGCACGAAATGGGGGGGGGAGATTACCTCCCGCCAGGATTTAATCTTGGTGCCAGAAACTCTTTTATCTTATGTGTATGCATACCGACCTTCGTGTGTCACACAGAAGCGATCGGTGAAAAAATAAAATACACTGTGTGCACGAAATGGGGGGGGGGAGATTACCTCCTGCCAGGATTTAATCTTGGTGCCAGAAACTCTCTTATACATGCATACCGACCTTCGTGAGTCACACAGAAGCAATCGGTGAAAAAATAGATGTTAGAACTTTGCCGCAAAAGACGTCAGCGGCAGGATTTGAACCTGCGCGTGAAATCACAATGGGTTTCGAATCCATCCCCTTAACCACTCGGGCACGCTGACTGTATTGAACACTTGGGAGGAGCGGCGTTCCCTCGCGATCTGATCTTGTTGTGACGCAAAATATTCGACGCACCCATGGTACGCATATAAGCCATGCACGCACACCCACAACTTGACAGTCCCGCCTACACAGACCTGCCCACCCAAGAGCGACCTAGGCCTACTCCAAGGCCCACCAACCTAGCACCTATCCAGGCAATAGCATACCAACCTAGATTTATCCCATCAACGCCAACCTAGCACCTATCCAAGCAGTAACAACCTAGGATTTTCCCCGTCAACAGCAACCCAGCGCCAATCCTGGCACACCAACCTAGAACTGAGCCAGCCAGCGCCAACCTAGCACCTATCGGGTGGGTTTGGGGTTAGGGTTAGGGTTTTTAGCCGGTTTCGTGCCCTTGCCAAAGCAGAGCAGCATCTATTAGTGTTTAAAAGCACGAGAATAGCCTTTGATTGAAAATCAACTGGTCGGTTGTTGAAGGTGCACACCTCAACTCTCGTAATTGAGAATCTCAGGGTTCGAGTCTCGGAACATTTTACCTCCTTTTTTTTGCGTGCAGTACATGGCAAAAGTTTAAGTTTTATGCACCCATGGGTACGCAACTAAGCCATGCACCCATGGGTACGCAACAATGCCATGCACCCACGCCCTCGACAGACCAAAAACACTCTGCACGCAAGAAAAAAAGGGAAAATGTTCCGAGGTTCGAACACGTGGCCTGCACTATTGTATGACGTACGTGTGTCCCTTCAACCACGAACGAGTTGATTTACAATCACAGCAATTCTAGTGATTCTAAAAACTAGATTCTCTGCTTTGGTAGGGGCACGAAACCGGCCAAAAACCCTATAACCCTAACCCCAAACCCACCCGATAGGTGCTAGGTAGGCGCTCGCTGGCTCAGTTCTAGGTTGGTGTGCCAGGATTGGCGCTGGGTTGCTGTTGACGGGGAAAATCCTAGGTTGTTACTGCTTGGATAGGTGCTAGGTTGGCGTTGATGGGATAAATCTAGGTTGGTATGCTATTGCCTGGATAGGTTAACCCTAGGTTGGTATGCTATTGCCTGGATAGGTGCTAGGTTGGTCCTGACGTGGGTAGGTGCTAGGTTGGTGGGCCTTGGAATAGGGTTAGGTCGCTCTTGGGTGGTGAACGGTGTTCGTGCAGGTCTGTATAGGCGGGACTGCCAAGTTGTGGGTGCATGGCTTATGTGCGTACCATGGGGGCATTTAATATTTTCCCACGTGTAGAGACCTCGTGAGCAACTGTGGCGATCGGAATAAAAAAACATTCAGAATTTGTCGCAGAAGACGTCAGCGGCAGGATTTGAACCTGCGCGTGAAATCACAATGGGTTTCGAATCCATCCCCTTAACCACTCGGGCACGCTGACTGTATTGAACACTTGGGAGGAGCGGCGTTCCCTCGCAATCTGATCTTGTTGTGGCCTCAGAAAGTCGCGTGCCGACCTCCTGAGCCACCGGGGCGATCGGAAAAGACGTCAGCGTCAGGATTTGAACCTGCGTGTCAAATCACAATGGGTTTCGAATCGATCTCCTTACAATAGTAAGGGATTGAAGACAAGCTGTTTTGACGCTGGCTCTATTTTCATTCTGTAATCCAATATAGAAAAAAAGCGACCTTCTTCTTCACGCCCGTCAGGTTGTACGCATTCTGCTGTTGTCAGTAGAAGACACCATGAGCAAGCGTCCTGTGTGCTGGGACGTTCAGGTTTGCTACTGGAGCTGAAATTTCGAAGGTCGCAGCAGCCTCTGAAAACAGTCCGAAATCTGCGCTGGCCAAGCGAAACCCAACATTTGTCACAGCCGTGCTCACCACCACGGACCGAAGCCCCTGAACGGAGGGTCGTCATCAGTAAGTAGCACATGGCATGAGCTACTTGCAGTCAACCCGCAGTTGAGGAGATTGGGGTCAGTGGCGGCGAGCACAAGCAAAACAAGACACGTGTGTCGGTGTACTTTGCGGAGATCGTAGGCCGCTACTCGACCCTTGATATCGCCACCCAAGAGGCAGATTTGAGCGCGCTAACGCACACCCCCCGCTGCTATAGGGTGTCCTCTAGCGATATCAGGAGAACACATTAAACCTAGTGCAAGAGCTACCTTGTTTGAGCGCCTGCCGTTTCTGCTCCTTTGACTTGAATTTAGACTGGTGTGAATTTTTATCTTGATTTCAAAGGAGGCGCGTTGGAGGTAGACGCGTGAAATGTATGTTTAAAGCAGCCTCTACCGCCGCCCTGTTCGAGAATCAAAGAATTATGTTGTTCGCGATGCCCTTGTCTGTCTCTTGTGCATTCTGGTGCTCTTGCGTTTTTTTCAAAATTAGTCCGCATCAATATATTCGTTGTCTGCCATCCCTTAACCACTCGGGCACGCTAAGTGGTATTGAACACATGGGAGGAGCGACGTTCCCTCGGGATCTAATCTTGTTGTGGCCTCAGAAGGTCGCGTGCCGAGCTCGTGACTTGGCGAATAAAATAAAAAATAAACGGACTTTGTCGTAGGAAACGTCAGCGGCAGGATTTGAACCTGCGCGTGAAATCACAATGGGTTTCGAATCCATCCCCTTAACCACTCGGGCACGCTGACTTGTTGGAAGCCGGTGGATCATTGCCTATTTCTCCCACCCCGGGTTGCGTTGCTGTTATTATTGGTTTTCTTGGTTTTGCGTTGTGTGTTTTGTGGTGCTTCAGGTGTTTGGGTGCGGATCGTGGTTGGCGGATCTGTTGCTGGCGTTGCTGGCGTGCCGAGCCTGTCGCTGTTTTTTTTTTCTTCTATCAAGGTTTTGTCCCGTGTTTCCATCCACTGGTTCCGTCCCGTGTTGATCCGTCCCTTGGAAAGAGAGAGAGTCGACCCACTTCCGTCATGGTAGGCTGGTTGATGCAAACCGTTCCGGGACACCAAAAAACGCTCCAGATGTCTTTTGGAAGGTCAGACACCGGACATATGCGATGCACGTGACAGCACAGACGTGTGGATGTCATTCCCACTCTGTCCGCTTCCTTGAGTTCACTCTGTCCGCTTCCTTGAGTTCAAGGCAAATGTTTTGTGTTGGGGTTGTAGATGGATGACATCATCCCCCCCTCACCCAT